AAAACTTATTACAGGGCCCTGGTTACGAAAAAGGGGATAAATACAGTTGCTAAATTTGGGGGAAAATAACATCTAACACGTGGTGTAGCCAGAATCCATGTTTTGTGGGCCCCTGATGCCGAAAAATTGAATGACGCCAAAACATTCCTCCGCCTGTCCGTATGTTAACAACGCTAGCGGCTAAACCGATCAGCCGATTTTCTCCAAAATCGATATTCCTCAGTCGATCTGGCTAATGTCGTGGCCCCTGGAATTGGAAAACAATATTATAATTTTCAAGGTACTCTTCATGAATCCCCTGGTACATTTTCAAAGTTTGCAACCAAAAAAAATGTCTCCTTCGTTTTTGCTTAAATTTTGTTGTTGGATAGTGTGAAGAATGTTGAAGATAATGGTGCTGGTCTCGTGTTCGTTGAAAACCCTGATTTTTCGAAACTTGTTAAAGTTCAAAATTTTTTATGTCATGTATAATCAGGGTTTGCAAAAACCTGTTAAAAAGAAAAGAACCCAACCCACTAGGTTTAATTGAAATCACCTTAAAATTAATTTTTATTGATTTAATGATTTATTTATATTAATTAAATTACATTAATTTATATAAATGTAAAACTGACTTGTATTTACATCAATGTCTAACAAACAGAAGATTTATTTATGACTTATGTTCTCTCATCTCTCCTGTTGTTAAATTAAAATACATATTTAAAATAACTTAAACGTGTAATGTATATTTATCATCTATAAAAGTAGAAGGTGGACAATGACATATGATAGTTAATATTCATGGTCCATTCAAAATTATTCACATTTTGCATTTTGGCAGGTTAAACAAGTGGCACAAGTAAAACGGTTAGAACATGATTTATGTTTCATGTTGCATATGTGTAATGAGATAGAAAAGGTCAGTATTTTGATTAAAATGGTATTTTCAGAATATGAAGAAAAGATGGAGAAACTAGCCATATTTTTTTAAAAACCCTAGGAAAACTTTAACTGATATGTATTTTCATTTAAAATATTAGATTTTTATAATTTTTATTAAAAGACCTTGTTGTAGATCAAAAAGTTTACTATTTATGTTTGAAATATGAATAAAATGCATTTATAAAATGATAAGTTCTTGTGAACAATATTTTGGTAAATAGATAGTAATATTTATATTTGTATAAAATATTTCATATTTTTAAATGGGTTTTTCAAGAGTTTTATTGTTGTTGTTTTTTAACAGGATTTATTAAAAAAAACCTAGGGAGAGGTTTTTGGTGGGGGAAAATTGTGCCAACCTTTTGTGTAATTTTTGAAAATTTGAGTACTTTTTGAGTAATTTTGTGAGAACGTAAATGCTGTTTTAACACCACTAGTTTATTGCTTCATTAACTGTTGCCATTTTAAAATCGGAGGGATTTACATTGTTTTAAACATAGCTCTAAGAACGAGGCTCTTCCTTCTAATGTAGCCAAATTTAAAAATATGCTTTAGTCCATCTAGATTAGCTCAAATAATACTGACTGAGACATTTATCTTTATTATTATTTTTATTATTATTACTTTTATTATATTATTATTATTAATTATTATTATATTATTTGGGAAAAATTTATCATTGTTAACATGTCATTAGCTTTGGGGAATTTTTAGTTTATTAATTATTTCTTAATATTGTTTATTGTTATGATTATTATCGTCTGTCCTTATACAGTGAAGTGAGTGAAGTGAAGTGAAGTGAAGTGTAGTGAAGTGTAGTTAAGTGGTAGGGAGGGGAGGGGAAGGGAGTGGGGGGTTAAAGTGTAATGAGGAGAGTGCAGTGTAGTGTAGTGAAGTGTTATGTAACTAGAATTGAATTCAGAGTTAGCTAGAATAAATTGGAACTATGATATCAGCCCCTAATTTCTAAATAGTAAACCTAATTGTAAATGTTAAAATTGTTTTGTAATTTCTAATTCTAATTGTTTATCAATGTTTTGCCACCGAGAATTAGCTCACAGCGAAACTTTAATAACTCTACCAGGGAGCAAATCAATACAGGGAGCATTGGCAATAATTTCTGTATTACTTGCGATTGAAATCTTTAAATTATTTGGATAAATTGGATTTGCAGCTAGTTCCCCAGAGCTATGTGGAGTAAAATCCTAAACAGGCTATAAAAATGGTTTAATACGTGAGTAATTTATTGACTACATCTTTGAATTTCAAACAGATATTTTTGATTTTACGGGTGTACTTTTCATGAAGCCTCAATTTTTAAATATTTTTAATATGGCTACAAATTTTTTCTTTGAAGGTTTTTTCTTTGATAAAGCAAAAGATGCATAAAAAGTGGACAATTGGGTCATATTTTCCTTTAAAGCTCTTGAATTTTAACAAATGCAAAAGTTAAAAATTTTATCCGCGTTTTTCCAGTACAACCAATATTGCAGATAAACATTTTTTCCTTAATGGAAATAGTTCATCAATACATATCTTCCAATAAGGGTCATGTACAATTTTCAATAAGCAATTTTATTTAGCAAGTAATTTCAATAAGCAATTTGAAACAAGTTAATTTGCTTTTTCTTTCTTTCAAAATCCACTTCCTATTTTTTTCTTTAATTTTTTTCCTCACCATATGTAACAGAGAACAGTAAAGAAAGAGGTACTGATCCCGTTCTTGCACACATTGTATTTTTTGAATATTGCAACAAAAATTTTAAGATTTAAAAAGTGCAATACTGAGAAGAACGGTATTTTGGTAAAGCATGAAAGCTGTTCTAAAAATATCAGTTCTTTCACACACGCACACTCGCTCATTCCTCTCTGCTCTTTCTTTCTCTCTCTCTCACTCTTTCTTTCTCTCTCACTCTTTCCTTTCTCTCTCACTCTTTCCTTTCTCCATCTCACTCTTTCTTTCTGCTCTCAGCTGCTTTCTTTCTCTCTCACTCTTTCTTTCTCTCTCACTCTTTCTTTCTCTCTCACTCTTTCTTTCTCTCTCACTCTTTCTTTCTCTCTCACTCTTTCTTTCTCTCTCACTCTTTCTCTTCTCCACTTTCCTTTGCTCTCTCACTTTCTTTCTCTCTCCCTCTTTCTTTCTCTCTTCTCTTCTCTCTCCACTCTTTCTTTTCACTCACACACTCACTTCACAACACATGCACTCACTCACTCAGAGTTCAACGCACTCACTTCACACACACACTCACTCACGTCACACACACACTTCACTACCCCCGCCGCCCGCC